GGAATGGCTGGACCGATTTTGACATGACTTTTATTGGCAGGTAGCTGATGTACCAAAGAGTAACATAGGCTTATTACTACATACTTACTACATACTTTTACATTGGAAAATTGAAACAAAATAAAAAATATGTCCTAAAATATTCTACGCGGACGAAGTCGCGGACACCGACTAGTCTACTATGAAATCGTTTCATTTCGTCATTCTATTTTTGCATCAATCAAACGAAAGCATTAGTATTTAGTCTTTAAATATATACCACAATAACATTTAACTATTTTGATAGTTAAATGTTATTGTGGTGACAGTGAAATTGTTTCATCAGATATTATCAGACTATCTATCTTAAATCAAACCAACAATAAAGTGATTTTCATGAGTAGGTATACCTGTGACTCCCTCTCGCGTCCGGGCCTAGTGCAGGCCATGATGCGGAGCGAGGGGGCTGGGATGCCGTCTCCTCCTTTTGCGAAGCAGTCATGCTAGCTAAGGAGGAGGCGGGACGCGTGAGGCAGCGAAGCGCTGCCTCCTCGCAACCCAGCCATCGCGAAGGACACACCGGGCGTCGGGGATCGCGGGACGATCTCCGGCCACCGTAAGCGCGGGCCTGCGGACGGCGAGCATGGGTGGCTCCCCGTCCGACCAGAAACAGACCCGAGCGTACGGCGCGTCGCGTTCCGCGCGCGCCTCAAAGAGCCATCAGACCACCACAGATGGGGCCCAATAGGGCCGATGCCGGTTCGGAGTCGCGGAGAACCTAACGGGTAACCGGGGCTCCGGCTCGACGTGCAGGAGAAGGAACGGGGTGGTTTTTAGTCAGTAAGAGTCTGACACTCCCTCCCGCCTCACCCAGGCGGGAGCAGTCATTCGATGATTTTCCCCCCTTAAAAAAAAAAAAAAATACCTGTGACTCTTGTGAAGTACAAAGTACATTATGGCGACACCATGTAAGCAGGATGTCCAATAAAATACAAATCTTTTAGCCATTCACCTAACCATTTAATAAATTCTGTAATCATACGCTACTAATCCCACTGCACATTATCACTACAGTAGCACTTAATTGTTAGGATTAACTTAATCCATACAAGACGAGATACAATATCATTTATCAATAGTCATGATAATACTAAAACCGACTTAAGGAAATGTTGATAGTTACCAAGTACCCAATAAATTGATAAAGACTAACTTCTCACACACCCATTTGTTGGTCATTTACACTACAAAGTTCAGTAACCCAACCTTAGTGACTACTCGTGGAGTTATGATTACTTGTTTACTGTTTCTCTTCGAATTTATCTGATTCAAAGGTTTAAGAAATAAAAGTCACTTATGTAAGTCCTCGTGTAGAATTTAATAAGAACATGTGCTGACTATGCACTGGCATCTAAGGATTTCATAATATTAACCACTTCGTCATATACTAACTCCTTCGCGTTTATACCATACATGTAATCAACATGGCTGAATTTCTCTAAAGGTACCAAATACATGCCCATCGGATTCCCTAGTTCACTGAACAATGTCTCAACATCAGGCACTTCTGCGAGTGGATCGCCTGTTGAATAATGCAGGTATACTGGACTGGTTACTTTAGATAAATCATAACTGGGTGGAGTAAAGGACCCATACTGTAGATAATTAGCTAAATTAGTTCCGTAGTCATATCGACGAAAACCTTTGGCAGCAATTCCTTGTCCATAATGTGCAAGCTGTTTTACAGAGGCACCAGCCGGAGTGTGAGCGAAGATAACCGGCATCATAGTCTGTGAAGTTAATTTAAAATATTATTATTACTGTTACTCGCAGCTTCGCATGCAAGGAAAAAGTAGCCTATATCACTCTCAAGCCTTAACTATAGCGAGACGATATCTAGCCACCGTAACCACGTACCTGCGGACGGCGAGCACGGATAACTCGCCGCCCGACCAGAACCAGACCAAAGGTTACGGTGCGTCACATTCCGCGAGCGCCTCAAAGAGCCATCAGAGCACCACAAATATGGCCCATCAGTTCAATAGGGCTGATGCTGATACAGAGCCACAGACTTAACGGGTTGCCGGGGCTCCCCGGCTCGAAATACAGGAGTAGGATCGGAGTGGCTTTTAGGCAGTCAGAGTCTGACTCTCCCTCTCGCCTCAGCCGGGCGGGACCAGTCATTAGAATTTCCCCCGAAAAAAAAAAGCCTCTTAACTCATACCATGGAATCGAATAATATGGATATTATAGGACTTACAGTGTTTAGTTGTGCTTCATCCCATCCACCGATCAAAAACAAAATGTTACTGCAGATAGGTTGGAATACTACTTCATCACGACACATGGCTTCACCTGCCCACGTGAATATAATCGAATGAGGCATAAACTCACCCACACCAACTAAAGATGAAATCGTCTGAAAAATACAACAATGAATGTGATATTTGATTTCAGGCAAGATATTGACTTCATAGATAGATTCATGACACTTACTTCAACTTCAGTAGAAAAAGGTGCTAATGCATTCAGGAGGAGGTTCTCGTTGTGCGCCATGTAAGCCACGGGAGCCAGAGCGTGCATAGAAATAATTTTATCGTTGTATTCTGGTCGCATGGCTCCCATTACGAAGTATGATGTAGTGCCCTGTGAGTGGCCCACGTAATGAAGTTTTTCTACCCCGGTAGTATCAAGTATATAATCAATCATAGCAGGTAAGTCCATGTTGCCTATATCATCGTAAGAAAACTGCCAAAATTCTGTGTTCAGTATGGCGTCAGGGTTCAACGTAACATGCTTACGAGAATAATAGTTACCGCGGGAATTGCCTAACCAGACGTCGAATCCTTCTTCAGCAAGAATGTAACCTGTAAAAGTAATTAACCTTTAAATAATAGTAGTCGTTAGGTAGCTTTTTGTCCACAAAATTAAAAAACAAATGTTTGGACCATATGCGACAAAATTTTATTCTTACCTAAACCAGAACCTGGCCCCATGAGAATAAAGTCAGCAGATGAACAGAGCAGACCATGCATCACTAACACAACAGGTTTGTTTTGATTAGCCACATTGTTGGCGTCGCGTCCGTAAGGAATACGATGCATTCCCAAAATGTAACCATCTTCCGTTGTCACTGAATGTTCTTCAACGGGGTAGCCATATTTTGTAATGAGAGCTGGCTGAAATCATATTTGCATTATAGGCACGTAGCCAGGATTGAATCACTACTTGCAAGAATTGCACACAACAAACTTACCACGTCAAGATTCGCGTCTTCATATATGTTATCAGAATAACGTGTTTCGATATTTTTAAATAGCTCCTGGATGTTGCGAGCCTGTGGCGAGCTCCTGGCGACCGCCACAGAAAGGCAAGTGGCTATGACCACCAACAGCTCCACACGTAACATTATTCACTTGCAGTGGACAACTACTCATTGTAAACGACGTTAGATTCGTATTTTATAACTTTGAAAGAATAGATAAAATATAATTATGATTTAAGCTTTGATAACGATACCGACCAACCAATCCTAAAAGTTATTATATTAATATTGCACTCGTACTATAATAATATGTACTTATAGATAGGTACTGAATTAGACAGGGACACGTAGATAAAAAAGAATTAGGCACCTAACAGGTATGTGACTCTGCTTAGTCATGACTATGTATATTGTGTATGTAAGGCCCATAGTCTGTCTTAAAATGTTAATAGAATTGGTGCCTAAGTTGAGTCCAATTTAGGGAAAAACCAATACTGCATGGCGAGAGAATACCTATTGTAAACTGACCGAATGTGCAAGGAAGTAGTCGATGTCATTTCAGTTAGGCATGCCGTAACCAATATAACTTAGTAACAAGTTAACAACTATACCTGTCCATTATTAATTAGGAACCTAAGTACAGCATCGGAATGTACCTACCTAAGTACTTATCTACCTACTCTAGACAAAGCAAATAAAGACTATAAGAATATAAATGAAATAATCAATGATGAAAGTCTGAAACAAATCCTTTTTGTGATAAGCTATACCTAAGACTTACCTAACATGAAAAAATATAATCTTTTAAACTGGTTCGTATCGTACAAACGTTTAAAATTATTATCAGTTAATTTAGCTATTAGTTCTTAATTTCAGAAGATTTTTGGGAATTTCATTTTTGACTAGTATGTTATAGGTTTTGTCGTCATCATAAATCAGCTACAATACGGGCTACATATTGTACCTCGTATGATACCTACGTATTGTATTGTACTTTAGTGAACAGAGTGGAAAGTTCTCTAATACCGGAGAAGGAGGATCCTCCGACCAGGCGAGGTGATCGTGCCTGGCGGGCTTTCTGCCCAGCAGTTGTTCTTTGGGATTTTCTATCCGTGTTAATTCGCTTGTAAACTTTGCATGTGCGATGTAGGATTTTGTGACGTCATCCGTTTATTTGTTTGAGCTGTCATGCTGTCATTTGACATGTGTCGCCACAGTTCCTCCCCCAATAAGTTCACATTCATATCAGCCGTTCTGATGCGACCTGCATTCAGCGACTCCTAGCGACCTATGTAGATATATCAGATTAGCCGTCCACCTTGACGTCGTATGATGTACTTGATGGTACATAAACGGCCTCCATTCCAAAACATTGTTGCCCCATAGGCCATCGGGTGTCCCTCGTATGTAGATGTGGCCCGCCACTACTGCCACTTCAGCTTGATAATCGTCGATATAAGTCGTATTAGTTAGGAACATTATTTATAACGTACGAACGGCTGAATAGATTTGGATGAAAATTGGCGGGCACATAGGATACTTCATATCGAAGGATTTCTTGAAAATCCTACGGCAACGAGAAGAAACGGGACTGCGAGTTTAAGACGCGAGCAAAAGTAAAATAAAATGCTATACAGTACCTATCAGCCAATGAAATGTAGGTATAGAACCGACCAATTAGACTAAGTACCTTCTGACTAGTTTAAAGAAACAATAAAAGTAAAACAAAATTTTAAGTATATTGTTATTAACATTTCTAGACATAATCATCAAATCCATATATATTCATTGATTTAATAAGATTTATAACTCTATCGTACACTAGTTCCTTGGCATTGATACCATACATGTAATCAATATGGCTGAATGTGCTTTCAGGAACACGGAATTTACCTATTGCTCTACCAAGCTCACTGAACAATCTATCAACATCTTGAACGTGTGCTAATGGGTCGCTGTCGGAGTAATGTAAAAACACCGGCGTGGTTACTTTAGACAAATCATACGAAGGTGGTTTAAAGACCTTGTACTCTCTGTAGTTAGCTAGTGCAGAACCGTAGTCATACCGACGAAAACCCTTGTCGGCGATTCCTTGTCCGTAATGTGCCAGTTGCCTTACAGAAGAACCAGCCGGAGTGTGGCCGAATATGACAGGCATCATAGTCTGTAGAGGTAATCATGAAATAGGTAAGTAAAATTATTATTTCCATATATTTATTTAAAATTCTCTACAAATTACATTTTTAAATACTACTTATAAAAAAAAATAAAAAATAATATTTAAAAATATAAAAAATAGGAGCCGACCAGTAGCGGGAGCATGGTCCAAGCTACCGGTGGTTAGGGCTCCAGAGACAGAAACCTCCTCACAATGCGCGCCGTTTCAAGGAGAACTGCCTTCTGTATCAGGCCCTTGACCCAACTGCCTAACGCTAGCCTCCTAAGGTGGTTGTCGAAGCTATTAGGGATTAACCCATTGGCCGACACGACTATCGGCACAATGATAGCCGAATCTACATTCCCTATGTCGACAACCTCGTGAGCCAAATCAAGATATTTGATTTGTTTATCTTTTTGAGCTTTCACGAGGTTCTCATCATGAGGAATAGTGATATCGATTATCATCGTGCGGCGTACTTGTCGGTCTATCACCACTATATCAGGTTTATTGACTATAACAGTTCTGTCAGTGATGATATAAATTATTATTATTATTATGTATGTCTTTACCATTCACGGGACCACAGGGTCCCGGTCATTTGGAAGGCGTACGAGGGCCCGAAGCCAACTGCGCAGAGGCCCTTTAGACAACTTTAATCTAAATGTAATGGAGACACAAACCGGCGACTATCCCTGTATGCACTATGGAAATGCACCCAAGGACAGTCCCAGGTTAGTGTAGGACTATTGTGAATAATGGAAAAAAAATGGTAGGGCTATGGATGGGTTGCTGTGAACTGGTAAATTGGGAACTATGGATGACTATGGCACTTGCCGAAACAATGTAATTTTTACACGTAAAAATGGCAGGCGGAGACTCGCCAACTCACCGACCGGGCCCCGGGAATGGTTGCTAGATATAACAACATAGGGGCAACGAGAATGTGAGTGGCTGAAGGGTTAAGAAACTACTACCGCTTTCTACTCAGATCATCTGCTCCAGCCGAAGCCTCCTGCATCCCTGGCCCACTCGCGACTTACGAATAGTTTCTTACCCTCCGAGCAGGATCACTGCTCTCGCGACTCCACTCTGGACGGCCAATGAAGGCAAGCCAGAGGTGGGAGACCTGTTCCTTGTCATTGTTCACTCCAGCCAGCCAATTAAGGCAAGTCGGAGAAGAAGGAACGGTGACTTCTCCCTGGAGCACTCGGGATGATGGTAGCCCGCGGGATCGCTAATGCCCGTCACCTCGCCTCAAGGTGCATTATTATTATTGATGTCTAACTTAAAATTAACATTGACATAAAAGATATTTACCGCATTATGTTGGTTTTCGTTCCATCCACCAATTAAAAACAAGATATTACTGCATATAGGTTGGAATACCACTTCATCACGACACATGGCTTCACCTGCCCATGTGAAGATTATTGTATGAGGCATAAACTCTCCGATTCCTACTAAGTATGCAATGCTCTGAAAATATCAATAGGCATTATAATAATGAAGTAGGTACCTACCTACTACATAAGATTACTTCAACACGAAACTCTTAACCAATCCAAACCCTCTTAGAAACTTACTTCGATATTATTAGAAAAAGGTGCTATTGCATTCAGAAGGAGATTTCGATTATGTGCCATATATGCCACTGGAGCCAATGCATGCATGGAAATTATCTTGTCATTGTATTCAGGACGCATGGCCCCCATCACAAAGAAGGATGTAGTGCCCTGTGAGTGACCTACATAGTGAAGTCTTTTTTCTCCAGTAGCTTCCAGCACATAATCAATCATAGCAGGTAGATCTTTGTTGCCTATTTCATCGTAGGAGAACTTCCAAAAAGCTGTGCTCAATATGGCATCAGGGTTTAATGTTACGTGTCTACGGGAGTAATAGTTTCCGCGCGCATTGCCCATCCAGACGTCAAATCCTTCCTCAGCGAGAATGTAACCTGTTAAAATATTGGTAAAATAAGATGTATAGGTAGGTAGGTAAATCTTTATTTTTGTATGTGCTGAATTCTACAAAATTCTTACCTAAACCAGAACCTGGTCCCATTAGAACAAAGTCAGCAGATGAACAGAGCAGACCATGCATCACAAAGACAACAGGTTTCTTTTGATTCGGTACATTATTAGCGTCACGTCCGTGAGGGATGCGGTGCATCTCCAAAATATAGCCATCTTCGGTTATTACTGTGTGTATTTCTACAGGATAACGATACTTTCTGATCAAAGCAGGCTGAAATTGTAGTCAGAAAGGATGTAACTTCTTGCTTCAAATTATACCCATAGGTAGTAGTCGGTCTAGAAAATAAAATACAATTATTACTCACCACATCTAAGTTCGCATCTTCAAATATGTCATCGGAATAACGTGGTTCAACATTTGTAAACAACTCCTGGATTTTACTGGGTTGCGGTGAGCTTCTGGCGACCACCACAGTAAGGCAAGTGGCTATGACCGCCAACAGCTCCACACGAACCATTATTCTCATGTAGCTGGCAATAACTCATGGTGAACAGCATTAGATTCCGTTTTTTATAACTTCAGGCGCATTAAGATAAACAAGATTTATAGGCTTTGATAACGATACGAGACTTTAACATATTATACATGGCGACTCATTACTTTTAATAATTACCTAATAATTTAATGAACTCAGTTATTATTAACAAAATTAAAGCATGGCTGCCTCGTCGGTCTAGTGGTCTTAAAAACTACTACTTACCTACCCACAGACCACGTATAGCGTGTTGGATTTGGATAACATTATTTTTATTGGAAAATTATGATAAACTGTTAAAATTGTTACCTTACATGTTCTAACCGACTGTGGGATAGGATAATGAACACATCATAAATTTATATAGGTAGGTAGATAAGTAGGTTCCCAGCTCAGACTTTCAAACTGGCGTCTTTTTTTAAATAAGTTACTCAATGTAATTGTTATTGTACCTACTATAATATTCCATTAAGTACTTAGGTACTGTACCCATTACATAACATTAATACCTAAGCTAAGATGGTGAAATTACCTCTAAATTCTATAAATCATTAAAATAATTATCTGAATGTAAACATGCAGTACCTAATCGTTAATTGATTAATGTGTTTAAAACCACTTTTAATCAAAACAATAAAGCAATTAATTTCATTTTAATAACCAACATAAGCCTAATCAATCATAATAAAAAGGTACTAAGTACGTAATTTCAGCTTCATCACTGAAGGAGCAGGCAGACTTACCTATAGACTTACATATTAATACCCAACCACACAGTTTTCAACAAGAGGTACAACTGTACAAGTGGCCCATTATAAAGGTGCTTAATATTCTTACTATTTTAGAAAAAGTGGTAATTTGAGCAGACTTCGTGTAATTTTGTTATGGCGTCGGGACCGGGAAGGATACTCAACATCAGAAAGAAGTTAAGAGTGCGTTGCCGGTATTTTGGAGGTGGGAGGGAGGGGTGATATGAGACACACGACGAAGTGTTGTTTTAATTCGATATATTACGAATACGAATAATGACGCGAGAGTTCGTTTTTACTGCAGCGTGTTGCGGCTGCGAGTTATCTTACAGGGAAAAATATTAACTGTTACTTACTTGTGCGAATTATGACTAAACAGTTTTTATTTAGCTTACCACATCTGTTTTATTTTTATTCTGAATTAAACCTAATAATAGAATTCAATAGAAACCTGGGTAAGAATGCGTAATAATAATGTAACGTCGATTAACCTCTCAATAAAATTACAGAATAGGTATTTGCAAGATACAAGGTCATATTATCTCTAAGGTAAACTACCTATGCAAGTATCTAGGGCACCAGGTTACAGAAAGGCGCCGCGGGACATCTATGTCCACAGACTACCCACAACATATACATTGTCTTAACTGCCAATATATCTAATTGTTTCGTTATCATACTATTGCACACTAATATAATTGCTTTTTACGTCAGGTAAACACTTAGTAAAGGATGTTTTATAAAGTATGTTATGGAAGTATTGATTAATTAAAATGTATGTCATCTCAAAAATACCAATTTCTCAAGCTGTATACTTCAGTTTGCTTGCTTGCTTGTTGTTTGTCTATTTGCTGTTTCAATTTCACTTCACTTTTATAAACATTGCATTAAATTGTAAAGGTAAATTCACTACATCTATATAAATTAACAAAGAGTGAGTATTAAAGTAATTATATTAAATCATTAAACCTTAGTCAGTGTAGAAATACAATTGATCATCAAAATATTAACTAAAATAAAATTAATTTTACTTAAATAAATATGACAAAGGAAATAACATGGCTGGATAGATAAATAAGCGTTTAATGTGTTAAGGCATTCCAATGATGGTATAATACCATGAGTCAACTTAATTAAGTAGTGCTAGAAATCTTCATCATCTGAGTCGAGTGCTGCCCTCCTTCTGTCAAACTTCACAGTGCTGGTTGATTTAGGCAACTGTTGATTGAGGGACTCCAAAAGTTGAATCAGTTCTGGTTCTGTTATTTTATTACGAACCTGACCCGTTTGGGCCATTCTACAGATCATGTTTTCAACCATGGCGCCTTTTTCAGGTCGACTAAGTTTGATTGTGTTCACTGGAAAGGAAAAGTACATGATTAAATTATGTTCACATACAACTAAAATATTATGTACAGATATACAGTTACAACATCAATAATAGAGTATTACTAAAATATTACATCTAGCTCTAGCGTCTTGACTGAGTACTTGTGCCAAAATAGAGTGTTTAGCTTCTTCCATCGCTTGCATTCTCTCTTCCTGTTGTTTAGCATGACTAGGATCACCGGTACCCTGAAACGTATACAGAAATCATCCGAATAATATTAAATGAGTCATTTCCTAGTAAATGAAATACAAAATAAAAGTAATTGATTCCAAAACCAGAATCGAACTTAACCTCAACATTATGATTCACACTCACCCCATGTTGAGATTGTAGTTGAGCAAGCCGTTGTTGTCTAATCTTTTCTAATTCTGGGTCATCCATTTTAATAAGTATTTGTGTTTAATAATATATCTCAGAAAATATAATTTTTTACACAAAGGTACTTTTATTGCTTTCTTAATTTTGACAGCAGTTAATACCACAGACAAAGAAAATAAATATTATTGTCTATTGTCAAAGTAGTGTCAATGTCAACATGCTCGACCACAGCAAAGCATTTTGTTCACAGACATACCTATCGCTTCAAGTGAAATACTCTATGGTCAAAATGTGAGGTCCGTGAATAGCTCACGATTGGCTGAACATATTTTGATGTGATTTTCAGAAGTGTTTATTACACTATGCAGGACGTTTAAACTGTCAAACACAAAGCGGTCACCGGTGACCGCAGCCTATTGTTCTATAATTGTGTCTACAAAACCGGTACTCGACGAGTTAAGTATGTTTGTGCATTGTTATTACCAAGGCATGCTCTCATTTGTAGTCTATGTAATAAAATAAAGACGGAGAAAGAGGCGCCCCTCTCTCTGTGATAAAATGACATGTAATTGTGTCCTATGGGAACATCCAGTTTTGCTCCACTAAGTATTATCGACAAATTAATAAGGATAAGAAACCATTAATTAGGATTTAATTTATTTATGTAACATTATCATGCCATTGAAGTGTTTGGTATTCAACTTGTTCGTGAGAATTGTAAAAAGCAAAAACAGCCAATTTGTTCACTGTAACAGACAGTCTTCCAAATGCTACTAATTCTGCAGGTCTCATGGTGGCCTCTTGATTATAAACACATTGCACCATATATGTTGCATGAAACTTCACTGGGTCTCCTGAAATGCAATTAATAAATTAATTAAAAATATAATAAAATTAGGTGAAGATGTGCCTATTACTTTTACTTTAGTTACCTGGATAAATTAAGAAGTCGCAACCAAATTTTGATCCACTTGTAATATGGAATTTCTTTTCCCACAAATCCTTGAATATTTTATACTTGATAGCACCTTTTCCTTCTACTACACTGGGTCTCAAAACATCAATAGCCACATTTTTCTTTTCTGTAAAATTCAACAATAAAAAGCAACCAATTTCAACCGAGCAACCAATGTCAATAGTACTATCGCCAAAGTTTACGGTAGTACAGTTTTTAAACAATTAATGCTCTGGCAAACTCGTTGTCCACTGGGAGGTGGTAGTGGCGATTGTACACAAGGATATAAGATAGTTACCTACCCGTGTCCATGTAATGTTCAGTTGGCAAATGAGTTAATACATGAGCAGGAGCTAACTTTGGTAATTTACTGATTTCCTCTTGTAATAATGCTTGCTTATCTAATTTAACATCTGTGAAGTAAAAACAAAGAAAATTAATAAGATGTAGGTGGATAACAATTTATTGTACATTAAACTGTCAAACCCAAGCGGTCACCTGTGACCACAACCTATTGTTCTATAATTGTGTCTCGGTACTCGACGAGTCAAAATTATAATAATTTAAAATGAAAATACTTTACTGTGTTTGTTACAAATTTAATTAGACAGCCCTGAGGTAGATGGTAATAATAACTGTAGCTAAGGCCTATGACGCAATGTCATACAGAAATGTACTGCCTAATTAAATATTATAAAATTTAGATAAACTGTTGGAATGGTTGCTTTTATGTCCTTTTGTTTCTCAAATGAAGAACTTCAGTATTCAAGTTAAGATTAATATATTATGTCCGTCTCTATACCTGTTATGCCTTTTGACAGCAACTTTTGTCTTTTCCCAGCAATTATAATATCAATCTTCTGCGACAACTGCTCTATTTTCTTTTTCTTCAGAGCATCTGTTTGTTCCATTAAAACACTGAAATGAAACAAACTGGTATTTTAGCCTCAGAAAAGTCTAATTTGAGTGTGTAAGTTATGTCCAAAGATATTATCTGATAATAATAAAATGGAAATTTACTTCTGTTCCAATTCCTTTATCAACTGCTTTTCATCTTCTGATGGTTTCATTGTTAGGTTTGGCACTTCAAATAACTGACAAATCCCTTGGTTTACTAATAATGCAGCTTCTTCTGATGTCAAAGCCATGGGTAAACCTACACATATTTTCATTCATATTAATTGATATGTAAAAGTAGGTTCTGTAGAAATTTTACCTATGGCTATCTGTAACTTACTTGAAAGTCAGCAAAAGCCCTTCTTAAAAAACTACACACCTAAAAAATCATTTTGCCTTGGGAATGATGGTAAAGATCCAATTAATGAACCGCATATTCGGTGGTTGGCTCGTAGCTCGTACCAATCTGGACACAACAGAAAGAGTATTACTTTGGTACAAAAAAAAAACATAAAAACTTATTTCTTAAAACCTATATTGGGTACGTTACCTTCAGAGTTCCATACATAGGCAGAGCCATTTTCAACATAAAGTGGTATCATAGCACAAGAAAATCTGTTGACCTAGCCACTTAAGCCACTACACTTAGATAAACAACAAAAATTGTATATATATAATGCAAATGAATGAAAGAAATTAAATTACAACTGTTCGAAATGAGAGATCCCCCTATACTTACTAAAAATAAACTCTTTGCCTCTGTCAATCTGTCATAAACGTAAAATTTTGAAGTTGACTCTTATGTCAATTGTCATCATTATGTCACTCCTAGCCATCATATGTTCATGTCACATTTTTATCAGCTGTAAGCTGATATTTTGAAAACTTTATATTGAATGTATTGATATGAAAATCGAACTGGGATAACAAATTTAACAACTATAACACTTTGAAAAAAATATGGGAATTCTTTAACTTAGTCTTTACAATATTGTCTGTAAATATATTATTTCAGTCTTCTATTTAGTAAGTGACAAATGTCTGATATTATTAAAAGAATTCAGCAGTGATTATATAATTATGGCTACCAGAAAAGTCTTGATTGGTACGTTGGTATTTCTTTGGTAATTCAAAAATCGTAATTTATGCATGCCCTTTAATTTAAGAAAGCAAACTACCTAGTTAAAACTCGTAAGATTACCCGCTGACCTGTGAATTAAATATAAATGTAACAAACCTTTAAACAAACAGCAGTCAGTTTGTTTGCTTAGAAACTTTAGGTAATAGATAAGTACAAAAAAAAGTAAGTACGTACTAAAAAAAAGCCATTGAACAAGTCATTCAATGTCTTCAATAATCACCGTGAAAGTACCACTAAACATTTTGAAATAAATTAGGTACGTACACAACCCACGTAGAAAAGTCGTTATGGTACCTATACCAAAATTTACATGAACACTGCCTTATATTAGGAAATTCATCCAAAAAAAATAATTAATTGCTACTAAGAAATCATTTCTGAACAAAGAGGAGAAAAAATAAAGTACCTATATATTTTTTATTTACAGGTGGGGGCACAGGCTTTATTGGAAGTCATTTAGGGGAGCTGCTTGGAACCAAAGGCTACAATGTAGTAAATATAGCTCGTATGCCTGGCGCTAATAATATTTCATGGACCACTTTGGAGAATTCAGGCTTACCCATGAGGTCATGTGCTGTGGTCAATTGTGCTGGACAACAGTTTATGGACTTTACAAAATCTTGGACACCTGGGTACAATAGTCAATTGTTTTAATCATTTTTTTTTTATTTGAACACTTTATTGAGAGGTTGCAAGTCAGAATACTCTATAGCCTATTAGTGGGTCTTTGATAGACCCAAAAAGCTTTCACAATTCTATAGACTTCATGCTGCTAAGTTTAGAGTTAGCAGTGTAGAGTTTACTCTACACACCAGTGTAGACTCTGTGAATTTCTTAAGAGCTGCGTCTCTACACCATATATATACTGTAGGTGTCGCGGAGAACCTAACGGGTTACCAGGGCTCCGGATCAATGTGCAGGAGTAGGAACGGGGTAGTTTTTAGTCAGTAAGAGCCTGACACTCCCTCCCGCCACACCCAGGCAGGAGCAGTGATTCAATGATTTTCCCCCCTTAAAAAAAATTGATCCTGTAGGTACATTTGACGTCTATGTGAAGCATGCATATTGTGTAGGTACCTGGTACATATAAATTCTAGATATGCCTATAAATTCGATTAATAATAGGTGTTATATTTTGTTAAATGTTGTGTAATAAAATAACAAATGGTTGATTTATTTGCAGATTTAAACAAAATGTACAAAACTCTAGAGTTTATACAACAAAAGCACTTGCAACTGCAATTAACAAATGTTTAGATAAACCAAAGGTGTTTGTCGTTCTAACTGGTGTTGGTGCTTATGAACCTTCAGAGTGCAATAAATATGATGAGAGCAGTCCCACCACAGGAATTGATTTCTTCTCTCGGCTGACGATAGAATGGGAAAAAGCTGCCAAAGTAGATCCACCTGTAAGGCTTGTAAGTATCTACATTTTTTTACTATTGGACACTTAAATATTGTTATATTAAAATATCAAATATCATTAAAATCTATTTTTTGAAGCTTCTTCAACTGGATCTCCAACTATTAAGATAAGATGATAATGATTTTGCAATGTAAAGTTATGCCACCAATATCTAGATTGTATGTAGGTATTATTCTTTCTTTTTTAAAGGACATTGCCCAACACTAGAATTTTCCTCTGTGTTGTGGGGAGTGTTTACAAACATTCAAGTTCACATACACATTACACCCGGACCCGAAACACCAAGTTGTGGATCACACAAAGAGTTTTCCCGAGCGGGAACCGACCCCGCGACACGTTGCGCGGCAGCCGGTTGCTCCCGCACTAATCGTGCAGTCAATATTATTATATCTTCCAATTTTACAAATCATCAACATGGATATGGATATGTCTGGACCTTCTAGAATTATGTATCATTTATTGGCAATAATCTCGCCTTTACAATGTCTATGTATACCTATTAATAAAGAATATAATTTTCTTCTACAGGTGATAATTCGTTCTGGTGCAGTACTGGGTCGTTGGGGAGGTATGATCAAGAATATGTTTCTCCCGTTCTACTTGGGCCTTGGCGGCCGCATTGGCAATGGCAAGCAATACCTACCATGGATCCACATAGAGGACCTCACCCGGCTAATTATTTTTGCTATTGAGAATGATAATGTCAATGGTATTCTGAACGGCGTATCCCCGCAAGTTATTACCAACAATGACTTCACACACGTGAGTATGAATAGCTAATAAAAAATTCTTAAGAAAAAATATTTTTAATCTACCACCGCGATATGGGCTTGCAGGCGTGTACCTACGCCGCTTTTTGTGTGGCCATGGTATCACTCCTAGTGAGTCTGCCCATTCATGCCATAAAAGGGCACGTGAAATGATTTTCACAATTGTTATGGTTGTTTGATTTTCTATTAATTGTTATCTTTATTCGTCATTTCCAGTCATTTGCTAAAGCTTTGAGAAGACCTGCTTTTTTGCCAGTACCCGAGCCGATTTTAAATATGTTACTAAATCGAGAGAGAGCCATGATAATGACTAAAGGACAGTACGTCATACCAAAGAGGGTACAAGAATTTGGCTTTCGTTACAAATACGACAACATAGATGATGCCTGCAAAGAGTTTGCACACCTCTGTCCGAAGAAACATCCTCTTAAATAAATTAATAGGTATTTAGCATTAGTGAAAAATTAAGCATTGCTTTTTTCGAAACATACCTGAAAATATGTAACTATTTATTTAAAAAACTATTGTACGTTTAAAATCTGCATTTTTGTTGTCCTATGGTCGTAATTCATGAATAAAATAACATCAAGTGATAATTAATGTAGTCTATTTCTTTGTAATTTAATAATTACTTCTAGCTGCTAGTTGTTTTCCTTTATCGGAAAAGAGTAAGACGGAAAAGAGTATATAGTTACCTTTTTTTTTGAGTGGGAAAAATTATCGAAATACTTCTACCGCCCGAATGTCAAGAGACGGAGTGTCAGACTCTTACTGAGTAAAAACCACCCCGTTCCTACCCTGCACTTCGAGCCCGTTAAGTCTTCCGCGGCTCCGTATCGGCATCAGCCCTATCGGGCCCATCTTTAGTGGTCTGATGGCTGAGAGCACGGCGCGTCGCGTTCCGCGCGCGCCGTGCTCTCGAGTCTGGTTCTGATCGGGCGGCGGACACGGGTGACTCCCCGACGCCCGGAATGTTTAGCGCGACGGCTGAGGCGTGAGAAGGCTCCGCGCTCCGCCTCTTCCTTAGCTAGCATGACTGCTTCACAGAAGGAGAAGACGGCATCCCAATCCGCCTCGCTCTGTACTATGGTCTGAACCAGAGCCGAACGCGAGAGGTCGCCGTCGCCGATCACATCCCTAAGGACACGGCGGTGCTCAGCCCACGCAGGGCACACTGCCACCGTGTCCTCGGGGCGGCCCTCGCAGTGATGACACCCGGGCGCCCAATCCGAAACAGGAACCTATCAAAAACTTCCGTGTCCGGTAAGCAACTGCGTCAGGCAGTGGGTGAGGATGCCGTAGCGTCTCTCAAGAGACTCCTCAGCCCAAATACTTAGTTACCTATAGACATAAATCAGACCTTGTAAAATAAAACAAACTTCTGTAAAATATTTTATTCATTTTATTATAAAAATATACCTATGCTTGTCTTGTCATTATCATTAAATTCCATTGAATATAAATTCGAATAGATTTCAGGTTATTTAAGATCTTTTCTATTTCATCTTAAATTAAATTATTGTTACGAGTTATTTAAAGGTACCTAACGAGATACACAACACTTAAAAACAACTATAACAACTTAAGCTTAACGTTAACATTAATAAATTGTCCTATCTAAACGTAGCGGTCTATCTTAACGTGTAGATATAAATTAAATATACTTAAATAGAATAAAAACCTATACTCGACACGTCACGAAAAATTTTTTAGTATTAACTCTACAATTAGCTGTTATTCAGACTATGAAAAGATTGACAACCTTTCAAAATTCATTAAAGTAGAAGACATGTTTCTTTAGCGTTGTATACCGGGCTTATTTTCGGCACATAATTTGCAAACTATTCTGCTCTTTTGTGAACTTTTCATTCAAAAGCGCGTAAGCGCGCGCTGACTGGTTATCTTAGATCCTAAAAGATTTTGGAAAGCGTGCTAACACGCGCCGGAAATACGCCTGGAATCAACGCTCTGAACCATATACCTATGCAGTTGTAGAATATCGTATAATTTCAGTTTGTATTTGTGCTATCGCTCAGGGGTTCTTCGCCTCAATGAGTGCGAACCTTTCAACAAGTTTATTGACAAACAGGCGTAGGATGTCTTGTCGCATGCGGCCTACGTCCAGCACCTCCTCGTGGTTGGCCTCATCATTGTTCTCGTAGCTTGTGACACACTCGTTCGTGATCAGAGACAAAGCGAACACGTTCAAATCACAGTGCCTCGCTGTAATTACCTGTAATCGAAGCGTTTGTTATAAGTATTTACAAATGTATTAGCTAATTGTTTTGATTTGACTTTATTAACTAAAATCTTCGATATCATCACGACAACTTGTCCTACTATAATTGACACTTAAGTGTTATTATAGTGCAGTTTTACATGAAATTGCTGTCATTAATACATAAGTAATTATAATGTTTTATTTACAAACAAAGAAAATCAGTACCTACAATTAGGTAGGTACCTACCTAATGAAAATTACGTGTAAATTACCTAGACAATTGCACATTTGCAATGTAATCAATCTCCTACTCCTCAACTTCAACTAGGTAGGTAAGTACCTACCTACCTTTTTTATGGAATAAGCCCGTAAACGAGCAGACGGACCCCCTGGTGGCAAGCAATCGATGCTGCTCATGGACAGCCAAAACACTAGAGGTGTTACACGTTACACGTACGTCACTGACCTTTTGGGGAATAGGAATGTAAGGACTGGGCCTCCGGTAACTCACACTACGAAACAACGCAAGTATTGTTTCGCGTCGGTTTTCTGTGAAGCCGTGATATCACTCCGGTCTAGTCGGTCCATTCGTGCCAAAGCATGATTCTCCTACACTTATAGATTCAACTCACCTCGTGCACGGTGGACATGCCGACAGCATCGACTCCGACCATCTTCAACATGTTCAGTTCAGCCACCGTCTCGAAGTTGGGTCCTCCCAGGCAGGTGTACACACCTTCTTTCACTATGTTGTCAATGTTCAACTCTTTGGCTACCTGGAAGCAAGACATTTTACTAATAAGATTATTATAATCAGTAACAGGTTCCTTTATTATGAGGTCTGGAGTTCCTTATGGGTGTTTTGTATACTTAAGCCTCACGCTTGACAGGTGGCTTAGCCGTTTAGGTATCGCAGTTAGTCAGCAGAAGTTTTGGGGAAAATTCGCTAATATTGCGCAGTTTAAATATTCCGGAATCATGAATCAGCTGTTTGATAAATATTAACGAACATGGTGAGCACGCGAGCTCGGAGCAAGTGACAACACTGAACATTACCTAAATAGTGTAAAAAGTTAGTAATTTAGATATTTTCGATAAAAACGTGACAGTTGTTTGCCACCAAAGTTGAATCATCAACAAACTTTCATTAGCGTTAAACCCAGGTTTGTTATCTCTTGATTGGGACATTTTGTTATCATCTAACTGAATTTAGTATTTTAATCGTTTAATCTTCATCCATTTAAGCCTAATCACAAGATAAATTGGACTATAATGTCAGGGTATTTTCCATTAGGGTTTATTCGGTTAACCTTCCATTGCATGCCTACGTAAGTATATTCGTTGAAACTGCAGATTGAATGTCAATAATTCGACAAGAATGTGCAGTAAAAGGTTAAACGAGTCTTGTGCCATAAAGCTGTACCTACACTACTATGATCAGCACCACAACAAAATAAACAGGAAGGTAGGTATTGAACACATTACGCAGTTTATTTATTGTGCGTCAAGTTGTAAATCGTACTCGCGACCTCTGATAACCTTGGTTCCAGTTATTATGTTAATTAAACCCGAGCACGTTCACAAAACATTTTTAGATGACAAAAGAAGTGATTGTGAAAATAATCTCGTATCTGCGCTGCATCTGCTTTCAGACGCACATTACAGGTCATAAGGTCAAAGATCTCACGTGTAAGTAAATGCGTTACGTAAGAAATATGTAGTTAGGTACTTTTAAACCTTACCTATTCCCGTAATAAAGTCACTAACGGTAGAAAATTAATAGATACTTATCACATAGTGCTAGTGGCTTAATTAATTAAGTTGATTACATTACAGGACCAGTTGGGTCAAAGGTGAATGTTAACCTACCTCCTTGGCTATATTTCTATATTCGTAGTTGTAGGCTTTGCTCATTGGTGGGAACCGAGGACCGAACCTCTCATCGTTGGGCCCATGCAGTGGGTTGTTTCCAGCGAAACCCATCATGTTGATGTGGTCCTTCACGATCATGACGTCACCAATCTTGTATGAAGGGTTTAAGCCTCCAGCAGCATTGGTAGCAATCAATGTTTTCACGCCGAGTAGCTTCATCACACGCACCGGTAAGCAACACTGAAATTTGAAAAATTGTTGATAAATAATATATCAATAGATAGGTACCTACAATACCTACTTTACGCAATATTCTAATTTTTAAGACCCTAACATCTTGTCTATTCATTCACATATTATAGATATTAAGTATGCCCTACAAATGCAGTATAATAATCTTTACATTCATACGATTATACCTACCTACTTCTATAGATGCATTAATAAGACAATCATTTCGATAATGCGTGCTGTTAATAGAGTTCAGATAACTGATCAGTTGATAAATTAAGTATCTACCTACTTGTTGCATGTAGGTTTTCATTAATATGAGCATTACGAAACATTCATTACTTCTAATAGCTATATTCCAAGGGTACGAGTAAAGTAGGCGTTTAATTACGGAAGAAATGACATATGTTGGATACCTAATCCTTTTCCCCGAAGTAGTGTGCAGTGGGCTGAGTTTTTGTTTAGTCCTCTAAATCCCTCGTCATGTTAACCTAATGCCAGACAGCACGCTATTACCAAGAACCATTGAAAGAAAAAATCCAGATAATAGATTGAAACAGAAAAAGTCGAGACAAGTTGTCAAATGCATCGACAGGGGACAGTTCACGGTAAAAGGTCTTTGTAAGCATAATGACTTAAATGTGTTGTTTCATGTCGATATTTGATTTATTTTTATCAACTAGCTTCTTCGTTTCAAACTCTGTGACATTTGAAATAAAACGGTCATTATAAAAACAAGCGCCTCGGTCGCTGGTATTATTATCTTAACGTGTCCGTTACTCTCCATTGTAATGCTCACAACAAGAGATAACCCCACTGCTGGGGGGTCGAGACCGCTTTGCATCAGCCACATCCAGATACGATACGGGTAAGGCGACGCGGCGACGACGAGAATTTTCCGTAGATTACAAGAATATTTATTTATATCAATAAGCAATTTCGAACGTCGGTACTTATACCTAGATCGTAAAACATTGGGCAGTCTTACATCATTATTATCTAAGTAGAAAGCAAAGTTTCATTTGTAATGTTTCAATGTCGTGGCCTATGTAATAAATTAATACGTAGACTAACCACGTATTAAAAGCGACATACTTATTAATTCGAAAGATCTCAGATGGTTTCCACCAAGAAAAAATATTGCTGTTTTTTTTATTTGCCCCACACTAGGATGTTGTCCTGTGTCGTAGGTGCGTTTACAAACATACAAGTTTACATACACAATGACACCCAGACTCGGAACAATAATTTGGTAATCGAACCCTCGACACGTTGCACGGCAATTGGTTGCCAAGCCACCGCACCAACCGCGCAATTATGTATGTAGTGTGTGGCTAGTAACAACCCCAAACGCCAAAAATATTCAGGTACCTACTCTTTGTTTTCAAAAACCAGATAAGTTACTTAGCAAGTAAGTACCTTCCATAGAGGGTATCCCTCGTAGTAGTGGAACCGTCCCTGCATGGCCACTACAGGCACTCCACTGATCTTCCCGAAGACCAGCTTGCCATGGTGACCCTCCACTGTGCTCACTGGGAAGTTGGGGATGTCTTCGTACGAGATAGATTCTGATTCTGTGATACTTTCAGCCAAAGATCCTGAGGAAGAAATTATCTGTCAGAACAGTGTTGACATTGATAAAATAGATAAAGTGCTCTTGATGAGTAACGAGAAGGCCTGCACATTTGTTTTTAAATAATTAATGAATTAAACTGTCAAACACCAAGCGGTCACCGGTGACCGCAACCTATTGTTCTATAATTGTGTCTACAAAACCGGTACTCGACGAGTTAATCAACCATTACCCTATAATAATCCTAATTAATAAAATAGGTACCGACAACAATAGGGCTAAATTAGTAGTAATAATGATTTTTGTTAACAGAAATGTTTAAAAAATTGGCAAATGGCAGACTCACTCACTACTGCTGCATGACGGAGCTATGCAAAGTGAAGGTGATAACACAAATATGCAATTTAATCTAAATAATCATATTTCCCACGCACCAAGACACAATAACTTGCTGATATCGATTATTTCATTTCAATGAAAGTCTAAGTACGTATTGTTTTAGAAAATGCTGTTGTAAGTATTCATTACAATTAATATCAAACGTAAATTAAGTTTCGGTATGAGAACAACTACATCCACAACTGGAAAACGACGATAGTAGAAAACTATGACAATTGCACTACACACTGTACATTTATACATATAGATTCAGATCTAAAGACACATACGTAGGCACACGAACAAGCCAAATTGTCACGAACCACAAAAGAGAAGGGAATTGAATGAAGGTGATTTGTATTCCCTTTACATAACTCCGTGAAATAATAGCGTGAAATAATATATACCCTCTTTCCAATACGAACCCATCCCAGAGCCGCAAATAATGCCGATGTGCGGTTTCACGGAGATGCGAGACAGCAAGAAATTCGCTATCTCCAGTAGAGTCTCGTAAGAATATCTGAAACAACATGAAAATTCATATTTTTATTACATCAGTTGTGAAAGATTAATACAATTATAGAATGTTACTCATCAAACATACGTTATGCAGTATTCTTATAAATGTGACATGTGATGAGAAGATTCTAGATAGATGTAGGTAGATCTTAATGGAGGAATTACTAGGGTCTTCTTAAATTACTGGGTCCGAGGTAGGTGGTAAGGTAAATGCACTTACAAACAGAATTTGTATACTGTCATGTAAGCGTTATATGCAAAGTTGAATGAAATAGACAAACATTTAGAGTGTAGGTAATGCGAGTAGAACATAGGTATGTACATATTATGAATTAGAAGCCAAGAAGGTAGGTAACGCAAACAAGTCTTTCATTAGTGCTGTTCGATCGAAATGGGCCGGCTCGACCGGAGTCATACCACGGCCTTTCAACGTGAAACAACTTTTGCGTTGTGTTTCATCGTATGAGTGAGATTACCGGACGCCCATTTACCCCCATCTCCCCAATCTCCGAATACCCAACAATCCTCAAATTCCTAATCCCAAAAGGCCAGTAACGCATTTGGTACACCTCTATTGTTTATGCATGTCCATGGGGGGCGCCGATTGCCATCGATTTACCATCAGGTGATCTGTCTGCGCGTTTATCAGTTTACTAATTCAATAAAAACAATAATTAATTGTTCCTTCATATAAATATTGTTTACCAGATAAGTATGAGTAACAGATCAAGTTTCATTTTAATAAAAACGAGGAAGTGCAAACCAGAGCAAGAAAAAAAAACAATATTTACGTAAGTACGAAGCATACTGCAGTGCAACCATTGGTCAGTTGTACCTATGCATTGTGACACGGCCTAATTTATATGAACTCAATGCGACAGAAATCGTCGGCTGCTGATACGCTTAATTGATGCACTTGGCATAAATGTGAAAACATGTGAGACTTGTTAACAGCTGTTATGTAGTACATAGCTAAGTACTAAACACACACGCCTACAACTAGTAAATAATAAACCTTCAAATGTTATCTAGACCTCCCTGTAGGGCGTAGCACAACAGGTCTAACGATTTTAGATCTGAGCTTTTCTTTTATGCACGGGAACAATTTACCTAGGAAGATTAGAGCTTTGCCATAGTTAGAGTAAGAGAATAATACGCAGTTTTAATGTTTTTATTTTATTAGATGTCAAAACAGGTCCATTCACATCTAATAAAAAAAACTTTTACTTATTAAGTATCTATTAAAAGTTTATAGTTAAGTAGGTACTTTGATAACACATTTTGTTACAATCTCCATTGACACTATGTATTGAGGTAGGCAAGGTAACATTTTGTAACAACAAGTTAGCGCATCTTGTCATGTTAACTGCTTTTTAATATCTGCGAAACGTTATCTCTTGTTATCCAATGTAGCCATGGGACCAAATAGTTTATTGGCATATGTTTATGAGCAAGAAACGCGAACTTCACTTAAGTAAGTGTCTGTACTAAAGATTCTACCTACGTCTATTCAAAAGGAGTCTCTTTTTTTAAATATAGCGTGCATTTCTTGAACATTGTATATTGTATAATGAGAAATCGAGTATTTCAGTAACTAAGTATTGTATACGGCTGTCTATCGGCTCTATCGCTGATATCAGCAACTATCATTGCAATTGCCCTATTTGTTTTATCTATGAGAGGGATACCTGTCCATGTTTCCTCGAAAAAAACATTTCTATTTACGTTTGAGTAGGTACTTGACGACCCATTAACACTAGCACTAGTAACAGGTACAAAATATTACAAATATTTAGTACAGAATATTTTATACTTTATTGCAAAAGAAAAGGAACAAATTTAAAAAATAGAATGTAGATGCAAAGGGCGGCAGCCAAACAGCATAATGCGATTTTTGTTAAAGAAAGTTGTAATTTTATTCGGAGAGCTTTCATTCAATTTAATTGTCTAAGGAGAGCTTTAAATAGAAATTCCACAGTATTCTACAAAAATAACTTTAATACCCCATTAATTTTAGCACATTATTGCAATATTAATTATCAAAGTTAAAGACAATGTTTACGCATTGCTTTATCTGGACTGTAATCAGTCAAGATTGATAAATTAAAGATAACGTGACACGCCTCCGCGATAAAAATATTTCTGTTTACCAAACCTAAAAATATAATTACGTCAAAGGTAAGTACCTAACTAGTTCCTAATAAAAAAAATCAAGAATGTCGGCGTTTTTTAGCCTTCTCATCACCGGTTGCTGGCGCGCTTCTCCAATTGCATGTCATTTGCAATCTGCATCTCTCCCGACGTCGCGTCGCGTCGTGCCGGCTATGAGACATGATTGTAGTCATTACCACGCTATTCCACCAAGGAAAAAACTTGTAAATTATAATTCTCCATGACTTGTTAACTACTACTTGTACGAAATCGCATTTCATTGAAATTATTTTATGACATTAGGTATCTAATATCTCTTGATTGCATCATACGCTAGTTTACATAAATAATATTTAGCAAAATTATCAGAGACTGCATAATGTCTGAGTTATAAAAATGGTTAATTATAGAATCAATAAACTTATACTTAAAGGTTAATCTTCAATCAATCAGAACATTAATTAATATTTTGGTACCTGTATTAAGTAGGCACATAAATTTAGCGAAGACTAATAATTTACGTGAGTACTAATTAAGGTATGTACCTACTCAATAATATGGATCTGACTGAAGGATAATTAGGCATCGTCAAAAAAACGAAAAACAAACCGTAAGTATTAGTGAAAGAAAAAAAATGTGTGTAACATAGATATATTAATTATGGAATGAAATTATACCAACTACTTAAAGTGACAAACTTTAAAACATATAAGTACAATTTAATTTTCGGTAAGAAGCGAAAAAGTTGTGTTTGTAAGTAATGTCCATTATTTCGTCAGTCATGTTAGTTTTCATTAGCTCGCGTATACGCTTTGCAGAAGCGCAGTGATGAATCAATGTGTTTGTGAGCATACGATGGTATTCCCCAAGGTAGGAAATTTTAATTTCCTACATAACAGTTAATCACCTACATTATAAAACCGATTCATCTTTATTTTTCAAACATTCTCAGACATCATTCTATCGTTCTGTCTGGTGCTTTATATAATTGACGGATCGAATAATATTCAAGGATGTAGAAGTTTCCGAACACTGCGATTGATTGTTATTATTGTTCCATTTATCGTTTAACCCTTGTTAACGTAGGTACATTGGATCATTAAACTGTTTAGCAAAACAATGGATCTATCTAGAAATTATCAACGAGCACCACTAAATGATAGATCGGTACCAGTTTAGCGCGACTTGAGAGGACTTAGTGAAAGGCACGTAATGAATTAATAAAAATTGATTGGTCCTAATTGCTTCGTGAATTGAATCGTTACTAGTCACGCAAGTTTTAATATTATTAAAGAAATAATATTACATTTAAAGAATTTTCTAGCATAACTTAAACATGCGATTGAAGAAAAAAAATTGGAAATTAATTATTTCAAAGTGTGATATTAATTATAACAGCTCCATAATTTTTAATTTGTATAATTGTAATCAACAAGAACTTGTACGAAAATAACACTAGAATATTTGTAAACACAATAATTCCCACAGGCACAAGTACATACCCTTTTGATGAGTTCCCATTTCCATTAGCTGCCTCTGTTTCAACTTCTGGCAAAACTTTCTTAGCTGGCACGAAGGCCTTGGCATCATTAATGTCATTCGCGTTAATAGGAGCCATCACTGATCGATATACACTTGATTAATTAGTAATTAATAAAAAAATGTAGCGTAGGTGTTTGTTCGTTGATGTCCGAGCTTGTAATGCGGGTGTTGATTGCCTCCGTCAGTTTTATACATTGAGTCAGTGGACGCTTTGATACAGTTATCGTTGTAAGTACAAGTTCATTGGGTGTTTTAGTTTCAGCCAGTGATCAGTGGAAGGGTACGTTCTCCTTATCGATAAAAAATATATGCTTAATCTATGTTTTTTTTTATATGTTTCAAATTAAGAATTTGTTTTCAAGAAGACGCATCGATGAGGTTGCGTTACATCACTTTTTGTTGGCTCCACTTACTCAAATTACTTTTTTAATTAGCTTTGCGTATGTAAGATACTTACCTATACATATTTATGACGCAAGTCGCTGATTTATTTTATTGATTGTGCTTCTTCTTATATCGTACGAGGCGGTTGTTAGTTGTTAGCCTTTCCTAATATTTCATGAAAAAAAATAAATATCCATAGCTAATAATTATAAAAATTATCTGGGTGTATCCTATATTATTTTGATCTACTTGACATGCATGCATACTCATTATTTTTTGCGTAATGTGTAATGTATCAACTTCATGGTCGCTTGTTTGATTACAGTGCACACCAATTACTTAGGTACTAGACTAACAATTGTTCCGGGTGTAGTAATTTGATAGGAACATATTTTATATTAGGTACTCTTTAAAACAACCTTTATAATAATATTTTTTATAGTGCCGTAATGTGCACCTCTGCCTACCCCTTCGGCCTTCGGGGATAAAAAGGCGTGATGTTATGTTATGTTTTTTCTACTGGTACCTGTCTGAAAAAGGCAATAAAGTGTCCAAAAAGATTTGTAAACTATATTTAAAGTTTCATGATTCATAAAAAATATTATCAATAAACACACGGCAGTTCGATATGTCATTATTACACATCAATAAAATATGTCCTTAATATATACCTCTATAACATAGCGATATGATAAAAATAACGTTCAAAAGTAAACTAGTTCCATTGATGCCACATATGTCTGCAGTTCAAAACTTCATTCTTAGTTCAAGGACATCAACTTAATAGCAATAAAATAAATCTGTGCTGATTAAAAAAAAAAGAAAATGTCGGCTCACAATCTTATTCTATTTTGTGTGTTGGGATATAAAATCTGTTCGGGTAAGTAAGGCTTTATCGCTTTCGTAAAATTTTGTAATGGATCCCTATGTTGCAATTTTATTGTAAACATTAGAGCAGTTTTCGAGATTGTGATTACGTAGCTACCAAAAATATTACTTGTTTAATCATTCTTTGGCTACCAAATAAAAACTGTTGTAGGGAAATGGTCCACTAACATCGATCACCGGTGACCTCACGGCGTTTATCGGTGAAGATACAGGATGCACCTAGGCTCTATGATTACACCTAATTTTGAGTACATTACAAAATATCAATACTTTGTGACGCATTAATCCATAATCCCTATAAAATAAATAAAAATTCATGACGTCAATGATTTTATAGAGAAATATGGATCAATAAATCAAATAAAAGATTATGCAATAAACTACAAACAATAAATAAATAGATAGAGTTTGTAATAGAAGGAAGCAAAAACTATTCTCTGTTGTCTATTGTAGTAAAGGATACTTTCTTGCTTTAGATAGATATATGTGAGCCAAGAGATTGACGTGAAAGAACACGAAGTCGAGTTAGAGAAAGTGTAAACACAATGTAGACACACGATCTTCAGCCTTTAACCATCAACAAACGAGGAAGGAAAAAGCCCAAGTTAATTATGTGCCAAATATTCTTTAATACGCACTTTATAGAATTATGGAGATAATGTTATGTTATTAGATATAGATAACGCCATAACTCCGTACAGTCCGTCATGTCATTCGTTGTGAGAATAACACTTTTTCACTCAGGCTAGGATGAAGAAATGACAAAAAATTATATCTATACAGACACTGAAGCCTGCCTGAA